GGAAAGAGCACGTAAAATTGTTTAGTTTATCAGGTGTTGAACCAGGTTTTTACAGAATACCAGGTTTGACACAATTGTATGTGCTTTAAATTACTTTCTGAGGAAAATACAGTGGAAATAATGATGAGGAAGACGTTTAAACAGGTCATTCTGTGTTACAACATATGCAAGTGCAGCAATACACTTTCACAGGATTCCACTGTAGCTGGCATTGCTTTCTTGTTTGAAGTACAGGTCTGGAGTCTTAACAAACACATTGATATGACAAATGAACTGAAAATATCAGTATTTTTGGAGACTGCAGAAACAGATAATTTTTCCTATGGTATAAATGTAGGCAGTTTCACACAGAAATGTAATTTGGCTTATTCTCTGTTAGTGAATAGATTCAGGAATGTGACTCAATAGACTTGAGTCTTCTTACAAGGGTAGTGGTTCTGAAGATGGTAATTATTTTTATTTATTTTTTTTAAAGTTAGAGACAATTTAGTCAAGGCTATGTATTAGGATTTTAAGATAACAGATTGTTTAGCTGCTCTGGGACAGCAGTCCTTCTACCTGAAACAAAGTTTTCAGCTGTTCTTGACTGTAAAGCACTGATGATCAACTCTCTTTAAAAACAGCCATAGCAACCAGTTAATGCAAACTTTAACCCCCTTTTTGTGTAAATATCAGCATTTTTTTCTATATTCAGACATTTTGAAGGAGCTGTGCTGTTTTTTTAGGAAGATGAGTATCATCCCTCTTAGAAGCTGTATAGTAGTACATAAGTAAGTTTCACTCAAAGTAGGTTTTGTGTTAACTGTTTAAATTGCTATCTGCTGAGGAATATAGTCTATTGTTACTAAAATTTATTAGAATACATTTTTACCTGTCTTGTGTTTCTAATTGGTAAAGTTGAGTTTGGCGATGGTAAAGATTTGTACCTTTAGCTTTTAGCAAAAGAGCTCCTAGGGCAGTTTAAAGAAGTCTGATGCATGCAGGGTTTTACAAAACATTAATCAGGCTCAGTCCATAAAACTATACGCATATGTGGTTTGCACAGCTAGGGCCACAGGCACAGCTGGTGTGAATTTGCATGGGTCCTTTAACATCAAAGGCATGTGCCGTTTACATCAGGTGAGAGACTAGCCCCTGGTGTTTGCAGTCACCTGAATAATTTTGCTGTGTGACATACAGGGATGTTTCCTGTTACACATATGGCATATACTGTAACAGGAATCATTGTTTAACTTGTACATGTTGTGCATTTAGACTTTGTAAACACATTGGACCTATATTTCATTTGAGAAGAGAATATCCACTCACCTCTTTTTTTCTTTTTTTAAATTTCTTTTTTCCCAAGGTCACATTGTTACTGGAAGGATAAATTCCATATGTTAGAGTGCTAGGTAAATTTCATTTATTTGCTGCACAAGTAGACAAAATTACTAGTGGCTTATCAGCGTGGTAAATGCACTTCTCTTTTTTGAACATCACTGAAGTGGAAAACATGTGGATCTGCAAGGCTAATTCAAATTTTTTACAGATGTAAAAGCTTGTATGATAAATCGTTGTATTTTCAGGTTTTAGCTTAAATTTGTTTTTAGGGACAAGAAGAACAAGACCATGTTTAGTTTGTTTAAAGACTCAAACTGTTTAACAATGAAAATGAGTCTTCCATCTCATCAGTGTGGTCAGGATTTGGTTCCTGTTACATTTTAGATTTTTTCCTTAGTTTCCTATAATTGTAAATACATAACACAAAATTGCACAAAATGCTAAACATGGAATAAATGAAGAACTGTCACCCAGTTATGCTTGGGTATTTCTGTTCAGATATACAGCTTTCTGTGCTAGTTCTAAACCTCCTTGGGTTTTTTGTTTATTTTTCCCCCTGTTCTTTTGGACCAGAGATCATGAGCTTGAAGTAAGGTAGTATTCCCATCTCTAGAGGAGGTGGTATGGTTGTATTTTATTTTGAAGTGTTATCATAACTGAAGTTCTTCACAAGGTTTAACTCAGATAATTAGATGCAGCCATTGTTCTAGATTCTTTATCTTCCTGAAATGCAGCAGGTTTGTTTTTTTTACCCTTCTTGCTGGCACCTCTGAAGTAGTCATCAGAGGTCATTAACTGGAACTGAACCATCACAGTACCAGCAGGCTATGTGTGACTAAGCTAAAATATAGTAGTTTACCACAGATTCACAGTCTGTGCTGAAATTAACTGCTCTGCCAAATGAGGTCTGGATGAATTATCTGTTTCTGCTGGAGGGGAAAAAGACTAAGAACAAGTCTGAAAGAATGAGGTATGATTCTGTACCTTCACTTTTGTATTCCTGGGCAGGAAGATTGACTTGCTGTGCTGATAAAGTGAGTTTGAACTGCAGATCTGAAGCGTAGGTGGAGGCTTAGTTTTTTCCATTTTTCTGTGGGGCAAGAAACCTCTGTTTAAGGTGTGGGTGAGTATCTGGGGGATGTCTTCACCTCTGTTATGTTTCCCAGAGTTTATTTGTGAGAGCCCTGTCTTGGTTCTTGACAGAGGTGTTCTTGTTGAAAATGTAAGGTGCTAACCTGAAAAGGTTTTTAGCATCTCTAGTGGGCAGCCAGGTACAAGTTTAATGTTTCTTTAGACTTAGCTTTGTTGCCATGGTCTCCCTCACTAGAACAGCCTTCAAAGGAATTTGAGTCATTGCAGGGTATGTGCTATTTGTTAGATGTGTGAGTCACTTCACTCCCAGTATGTACTCTCTAGTTGTAACTTAAGATATCCTTAATCAAGGGTGTTCACATGTAGTGGTTGTCTGAGTAGCTTATTTGCTTGAAGTCTGAACAAACACTTGAGTGGCAGGGTATCCAGAGAACAGAGTCTAGCAGAGTGAACACAAGTAACTACCTGGACAGCTGTGAAGTGCAGTAGCCTAGCAATGCACACATGATGTTAGAGATGGAAGGAAGTTACCTCTTGAAGCAATCTGATTATTGCTGTTTGGCCAGTAATAATTTATCCTGAAGTAAATGGTCTTGCAGAGTTCACTGAATGTGGATCTCTTGCCTCAACTGCATTGCACTTGGCTTTCCAAAATGTATACAGCTATTGGGTATATCCCAGATAGAGCTGCACGGGACCTGGAGAAACCTGTTGTCAAGGAAATCCTTTTTGAAGTAATAAAACACTGTTAGATGATATAAAAGCTCACACATATAAAAATAAATTGCAGAAAAGATCATTGCCAGCCTATTCTTCACATTTCAAAGAAAAAATTTTTTCTTTGCTCTAAATAATGTAAAATCCAATAGTAGTTAATGCTGTGTGAGGTAGTTTTGAGGCTTCTTTATTTGCCAGCAGTGGATGTTCTTGACGTAAAACACTATAGGAAGCTTTTTAGCTTCTGAAGATTGTGTTGAAAATGTAGCAGGTTTCAAAGTAAGTACTGAAGTTGGAAAAGGTCAGGTTTTGTCCTTGTCAGGGTTTCCCCTCAGCCATGGTTGTAAAATCCCAAGTGTCATGACTATAGCTTAGGACTGAACTGGTTGCTCTGCTGCTTGTGAAATTTGCCTTCAGCAAATCTATTTTTAGGGCAGCAGTAGGTAAATTTGGTGTGGTGAATGGGCAGGGGCATAGAAAAGCCTGGGCTAGCTAAGCTGAAGGTATGTGGTGTTAGAGACACTGAGGTCACTGCTGAGAAAGGATAGCATTATGCACGGCCAAAGGAAGGTTAATCTGTGTTAGTACATCACAGTGAGCTGACAGCATGGTTGGTGGCTGGCTGGTATGGAGGAGAGAAAATATAGATCACCTACATGTGTGGCATTTAATAACCAATACTTTTAAATAATTGAGGATCACTGCCTCACAAAATGTCAAATGCTGCTGTTGGCCTTTTACTATCCAGTATTGACTATAACCTAAAATTGGCCTTTAATCATTGTTTAAAGGACAACTTCAAAATATGTTGAGGTTAGACACATGAGGCCTGATTCTGAGTTTACTTGCACAGGAAGTCATATGTAAGTCATAAGTGAAAATTAAGAGATTAAAATTTTTCCTAAAACACACTCAGCAAGTATGGTTTTATATGTTAATATGTTTAGGCTGTGTCCTATTCAGTCATGTAAAATGCCTTCTAATGGTGACTGAAGTTAGGTCTGATATATGGAAGTCTCCAAATAAACTATTTGACAAAACCCTTGGCAAGACCCCTTAACCTGAGAGTTTTGTCACAGAAGATGATCTGTAACCTCAGTTTCACTTAGGCTAGAGATGAGCTTTTTGTTTCTTTCCAATCTTGACTGTTGAGAGGTTTTTTTCCTGGTACAGCTCCTCCTGTTTGTGGAAGGAGACAAGCCAATAGGAGTGCCTTCCTGCTACAGGAAAACACATTGCTAAATAGAGTTCGGTGAAAGCCTTGGGACATGCAGCTATTAAGAGAACTTGGAAAGCAGATAGTGTGTGTTTGGGTACTTAGTAATGGATGTGGTGTAAAAAGTCTTCGTGTGTTAATGAAAAATACCAAACAAACTTAGCAAAACTCTCTGGAGATTTTTAGGAAAACTCTTTATGCTTGCATGTATCTAAAGCAAGGATAGAGTGTTAAAGAAACAGTGTCACCATTACCTCATCAAGATTTTTTATTTTTTTTTCAGAATCAACAGTTACTTGTTCAGAGCAGTCACTTGTCAAGGAGCTTGATGGCTGTGTTGGCTGGTGCAATGTTTTTCTCCCCAAACCCCATTTAATTAACTCAGAGTTAAACGGAGACGTTGAGATGAATGTGGACCTGAGTTTGAGAGCCCTGTTAAATGGTAGTCCACATCCTTGAACAGCCACGTGTTGCAATTTGGTACACTGGCCTCTCATGAGACCAGCTAATCTTGCAGAAAATTTACTAACCTGTTGCTAAACTTGACCTGCTGCACCTAAAAAGCAGCTCATCTGTGTCAAGTTGTATATTCTACAGTGGATCTAGATATATTTAAAATATGGCCAAGGTGCCAGACTTGCATTAGGCTGGAATCTAACAAATCAGTATGACTAGTCAAAAATCAGATGGACTGAAATAAATTCCTGTCCTGATGAACCATGTTGTAACATTGATTTTATTTTTTTTTAAATGTTTTTCACTGGTAATGGCCTGATGTGATTCTGTTTCATTAAATTTATTTGCCAGAACTCATATGCTAGAGCCTTTGTGTGTTAGAAACCAGTAAAAACAAGAGGAGGGAGAAAAACTTATCGAGTGCTTGAAACTCTAGCGGCATTGTCAGTATGGTCAGCCTTCCCAAAACTGTGTGAAATGATTTTTTTTAACAAACCATAACTCAATCCTACATACCTTGCTAATACTGTAGAGGAAGCAAACTTCCCCTCAGCTTTTTTTAGTAAGGAAGTCATCAAACTTCTGTTCTAAAAAGTCAGTAGGCTAGCTGTCAAGCTTTTTAAAATATACTAAGATCGAATGCTGCCAACTAATTGTGTTGTTATATTTTACCAGCAAAGTTGCATTAATATTTTTTTTATTCATTTCAAATGTAAGTTGCTTTTATTATTATCTTTAATATATATTGACCAAACGTCTAGTTAATGTTAACTGAAACACTTTCTGGTTTCTGTAGCCATTCTGTTCACCCTTGCAGGAAAGAAAGCTTTGGGCAATTTTCTTCTTTCACCTTGGCAGGTTGTCTTTGTGCCCTCAGAGCTAAGCAGAGGTAAACAAACTTCTGTGTGATACAAATAATGATTATATTAGCTTTGAACTTGATGTAAAAAACAATTTTCAAGACCAGAACTATGGACTACTATTAAAGGAGAAAAGCTCTGTAGAAATTATGATAAATGGAATTATTTTGCTTGAAGGATATTGGATGAGTCATATATTTATATTGTTTTAGTAAGCTAATATTTCTCTTGTCTTAAAGTTGATGGGTCGTCCATATTATTTTTTTAAAACCCCAGCTAGTAAAGTATTGCATCATTTGCTGTGTTTCACATTCTGAATAAAAGTATTTGCTTGCTCCTGATGGAATTTTTATTGGTTCAGTGAGGGGTTTGTTTTCTTTGTAAAGCAGTTTCCACACAAGGTTTGTCCCAGAAAAACAATTGAGGCCTGTTTCTTCAGATGCCAGGTCAAGTGAATCCAAAAGTTATTGGTAGCCTATCTGTTAACCAGATTATTTGACAAAGTATGAGAAACTATATTTCATTATAATGCTCTTATTCTAGAGTGGTTTGCTGCATTCTAGCAATTTTATGATTGCAAGTTTTTTTTTCAATCTTTTATATGACTGAAATATTTTCAAACCCACACTGTTAATCAAAATAAGTTGGAGTTGGTACATATTTGGCTAAATTGTGAGTAAATCTGAACTTTTAACGTTCTTTGGGCATGTACCACATATAAGGAGGAAAGCTGGGTTTGCATCTCTCTAGATTTTAAGGGTGTAGCTTGTTTCACAAATTCACATGGCACAGAAATAAAATAAACAACTGGATGTAAGGGTGCATTTAGAAATTGATACTTTGGTCACCTCCTTTTCCATGGGATTTTTTTAGTTATGTCTGAATTCACACATGACCATTACCCCATTCCTGCCCCAAATAATGAACAGAGAGGCTTATGCTACCATATGATTTTATCTTACAGGTTGAATTTGAGTGGCTTAGACAGTTTTGGTTTCAAGGCAAGCGGTATTTGAAGTGCACTGATTGGTGGCTTAAGCCTATGGCTAAGTTGGAAGAATTTTGGAGAAAAATGGAGATTATGGTAAGTACTAGTTTTATAGTCTAAAGCCTCTAGAGCTTCATTCTGAGAGCACTCACAATTATGTTTTTAATTGTGCTGTAGTAACGGGATTTAAGCTTTATTCAGAACATATGAAAAGTCAAATCAATGCCAGCCTTCCACTGCCTCCTCTTACTTTTCTCCCCGTCAGTAGCCAGGAGGAATGTGAGCAAAATAAGATCCAAAAAAACAGGAGGAGATTTTAGGTATTTCCTGACTTTGCTTGATTTTGAAGTTTGACAGCCCTGTAAGATGGCCAGCATATATTGCATCACACTGGGTGGTATATGAAACTGTGCACTGCCAGATTTTTCATACACCAGGACAGACAACTCTGCCAGTGCCAGGGTTCTGGTGTCCTTGCACACTCACATCATAGCTGGAATCAACAAAGGGAGGTTAGTTTCTTGCATAACTTCAGTGGCCATGCTTCCTGCATAGTTGGAAGTGCATCCCTTCTTTCTGTGAAAACAGGCTCAGTGGAAAAGCACTGTTAGCCTGCTTGCTGCTGCTCCCCAAGTAGAAACAGAGTTGGGAGACTTGTTTAGTGTAAATGTTCAGTGCAGTTTCCAGCCTGCCTGCTGCTAGGGTTGTGCACAGGAGGAACTGTACACGCAGACATGGCTTGCTCTTGTCCACACGTCTGCAGTAGAAGCTGCTTCTCAGCCATTGCTGCTGGTGAAGCATAAGCCTCAATTTGCCTGTAGTTGCCTTAGAAAAGGATGCTGAGTATGATTTGTGGTAGAGATGTTTCTGAATCTCTGGAAGTATGGTGCAAAAAGAGTATGCTCTTGAGTTTTGAGGAAAATGATGTGACTCCTTAACCTGCTCACACGTTTCAAGCTTTTCCAGCAGTGGCTGGTTTGAGACTTGAAGAAAAAGTGAGGAAAGGTGGAACTTTAATTTGTGAAATCAGTTGCTGCAAGGAATGAGTGAAAATTGAACTTTCCTACAAGAGGAAATTACTTCTAACTTGGTTTTGTAGGGTTTTTTCCTCATTTTTGTGTTCTTGTGTGCTCACATTCTTGAACGACCTTTATAATAAGAATAAAAAAATATTTTGGTTTGTTTTTCTTTCCAATGACAACTTACTTTCTTGTAACACAGGCTTAGATGAGGTAGAGACATGAATGTTTGATTGTTATTTTATATCCATTGTGTTTTGAGAACATGGAAAAACAGCAAACTCAGGAATTCTCAAGGGTTAGGTTTTCTGCAATTGGTGTGACATTGCCATGTGTCTCTAATTAGAAACATGGTGGCGTCAGTGTATCTCCTTTCAGCAGGCCTCAGGATGATATTTATCAGCAAACTGAAGGTTGGGCCAAGACAGAAGCTGCTTCTAATTTAAACTTTAAAAATGTCTTTTAATGTTTTATGACTTATAACATATTAATCACAATTAATTTCAGCTATTGAAGGAGACAGAAGAGAATGTTAATTGAGAATGTCTGCTTTGTTGAGAGTCTAAGTAAATTTGGTGCTTACTGTAGTTGGATTTGGAGGTAGGGTGGGTTTTTTTCGGATTTAACCTGCATTTTGTGCTTTAGTATTTCAAAAGACGACAGTAGGGGGCAATGTTGAGCCGTAGTTTTAATGCGACAAGCACGGAGTTAATAAAAATACATAGAAATGTAGCATTAACATCAAGAATTATCCTTGTTACTTCAAGTTAGCTGTAATCTCTAAGATTCCATAACACAGGAAATCAGTTGTGGGTTAACAAATTCAACAGCAATTTAACATAAAAAGTGCAGTGTTTTGGTGCATGCTTAGCTTCCACAGCATTAAGTTAAATAAAAAAGGTATTTCTGAAGGTACCCAGTCTAGAGTCGTTGTTTTTTCTCCAGATTTCTAATATTAGCTGGATGATTCTTTTTTTAAAAAAAAATTAAAAATACTGTAGAAATGCTAAAAGTAAAAATATCTTTAAATTGTTGATCTTGTCTCAGAAGAGTATTGCTGTTTGAAAGGAATTTTCTTTAAAAAAATACTTAATGTATTTTTATTACTTTGTTGTAAGAGCTGAACTCTTGACTTTTTTTATATATGTGTCTAGAATGATATCAAGGTCAGTCTGGGTGTCCCTGGGTGCCTCCCCTTCCCCCCTTTGTTCAGCAAGGCAATTCTGAAGATGAAAATTTCCTAAATAATTTCTGATTCGACTAATTGTAATTACTCCAATGTCACAGCAGAGTATGATACTGCAGAAAGTTTAACCCCGTTTCTTCATACCTTGGGGCTTTATTTAATATTTTTGTACATTATAGCAATCGCACAATTTAATCATAATATTTATTCCTGGCATTTCTTTCCTTGAGGATATTTTTACTGTAGAGCTTGCTCTTGTGATGTAAATGTTAAACCTTTCATTTGAATGACATTCTGATAAAACATCACATTTCCCACAATATTACCTCATGAATTTATGAAACATTAAATCCAAAGCAGTTTAACCAATCTTCTATTTTTCCCCTTCCCTTGAAAATATGAAGGCTATTCAAATGTTGGAGAGTTGGGTTTTTTTGTAAAAGTCATCCAAGATTAACACATTATCATCTGCAACATCAGGATAAATGCTTGCTGAATTCAAAGGAAGAGTTACCATTTGAAAAAAGACTGTACAAGCTTTGCTTTCTGGGTAAAGAGAAGTCTGAAAAGCTAAAGTCTCATGTGATGTGAGGAAGTCTTGCTGTAGCTGTTCTGAGATTCAGCAGAGAGACAATTTGTCTCTCAGGGTCTGATATCATGCAAACCTTGCAATCTGACATTTATTTTAGCTAGGATAGTCTTTTAACACTCTGCTAAATCAGTAACAACTGCAGAATACCTACAGTCTTTGTTTTGTTTTAGACTGAATCACGTTGGAGTAAGTAAAATATAGATCAATGGAGTGGTTTTTCTTTGTGGAATGAAAAGTAAACATACATGATTATACTTAAAAATCAGAACTTTAAATACTTTTTAGACATATCTAATGTTCCTTAAAATATATATATATAAAAATTGAGGACCCTAGTAGTGCTATATGGTGTGAACTGTATTTCCTGCTTTGACAGTCCATTTAGCAATGTAGCCATGTATTTATATAGCAGTTGGCCTTAATAACTTTTATTGACTTTTGTGGGGTAAGAGCCAGGACTGGGATTATTAAAATGTATCAGTTTCATTGCAGTATAAAATCACAACATATATAATTATGTTAGGTAGGCTAGGCTCAATTTAATCCCACCTATTTATGGAGGAATTTGGCAAGATGAAAAGAATTGTAGAACTAAAATGGGGAGAAAAGTATGACTGACTTGCAGTTATATTTAAGAGCTTAAATGCCTACAGTAAAGGATCTACTTAAAGAAATGAAACATAGATCTTAAAGAACTCATTTGTAATGGTCTAACTGAAACACAAGTAATTGTTACACCATTTGTTTTACTTTTTGACATCCTATAATACAGCTAATGATAATGAAATTTAGCATGCCTTTTAATTTATTAAAGTAGTGTAATAAAAGCAGAAGTGTGCACAGTCTATGTAGTTATAGGAGCAAAATGGTATTTTATGTTAAATTATGTGCTGCACAACTTTCATCTTAATTTGTAAAACTTAGTAAAAACTATATTTCCTAGTCAAGTTATTATTCCTCTTATTCTCAACAGCATGATTTATCAGTTTATATAACTGAACTGAAATCAGAGAGCAAGGCTATTTGCTTATAAATATTGTTTTCTTTCCTTTTTGAGATCTATTTCATTGTTTACTACTACTGCTACATGTAAAACATGTCATAGTTTCAGCTCTAAGCCACTATTGTCAGGGACTTGCAGGCTGACAGTTAGAATTGGCTGAAACTTGAGCTATAAAATCTCAGCCAAGAGCCATATGATTTTTTTTCGAATTAAAACAAGAGTTTAGATACGTATTTAAATCAGTGTTTCAGTTCCAGAATGACCATGAAAACCTGTAAGACAAAGTATGCTTTTAAAAAGAATCCTCCTAGTTTTTGTAGATTTTGGCACTTAAAGCACTTAGCCAAGTACTTATTTATTTATTTATATTTTTTTGTTAAAAGATGCTGGGATCACATAAAGGTTGTTTGTAGTTGTTGGTTTGTTGTTTTTTGTTGTTGTTTTTTTCAGAAAATGCTGAGTAATTTAATTTGTTTGAACTGATTTGACCTTGTCAGCCAAAATTGAAGAAATTCTGAGGAATTATTGCGATTTCTTTTTTGACTTTTCCCTGCTGTTTAGACCTTGCAGTGTCACACCCCTTGGTTGCAGGGGCATGAGCTGCCTAAAGTAGGCAAATATGGCAGCTCAAAGACCCAAATTTTAACCATATTTCTTTTCTTGTTGAGTTCTTCTTATCTGTTTAGGCCAGACCTTTTAAATAAATGTATTTTTGACAGGTTTATATTTTATGTAGACTTGGATTCACATGTTTCTGAAAATGCACCTTTTATCTTAAACCACAAGAAAACCTGATCATGGAGACTTGGTTGTTTGTTTTGTTGTGGGTTTTTTGGGTTTGGTTTGGTTTTTTTTCATGAATTTCTTTGACCCCAATTTTTTAGCTTTCAGAAATGGAAGAAAGGATTCAGCATTGTGTGTAGTAGAATCACTACCAATCTTAATTTTTTTTAAAAAAAAAAGTAGTACATATTTCAGAAAAAAAAAAAAAAATTACAATTCTGAGGGAATTCAGACTTAAGCTTTCAAAACAAAGTGAGTGCTGAAAGCACAAAGGACTGTGTTTATGATTCTCTTTGAAGTGTTTTTGCAACAGGGTAAGGAAAATTTTAGAAACTGTCTGATAGTGTTCAGGGTAAATACTTAAACCCCTTTAGAGAATTTCACACACAGATACTGTGCACCAGAAAAAAGGATACTTATGTTTCCTAAAGCTTCTACAGCCTACAGCTTTGTACTTAAAGACAGAGGTGTTGAATAGAATTCTACTGAGGATACATCCAGTGACAATATCTA